GCCAAAAAGTTATAACTTGTTATAACTCAGTTACGTTACGGCAAATCCCAATGCTTCAAGTTCCGCCTGCACCTCTAATCCCTACTCATAACCAGCACAATTAATTACAAGCTTGAAATTTACGGGTTGGGCTGGACTAGGCACATTCTGAACTATAGCTCCATCAGGGTTTTGTCTTTCATCTATTTTATGTTTAGGTTTCGTCATTTGCCATTTTTTGAAAATAGGCTTCGCTTACTATCTATAGTGGCGACGTAGAATGCTATGCTTCATATATTACATATAAGTTTTTTGAGAAAAGGAAATCTATCTTCAAATGTATTATCAGTATTAAAACTTTTTTTAAAAATTATTTTAATCGAAAAAAATTTTCTCTTTATTAGTAATAAAGGTTTCATTAAAAGGATCATTTTCTTCGAAAAAAATTTCTTAACCAATGGTGTAGATTCTTCATCCGAACTAATATTATTCGAAGGTATTATCATTTTATTGTTGAGTAATCTATATTTTTAAAAAACGATTTTAAAATCACTGTTACGGTCATTGCTTTCGTTATTTAAAGACAATATTTGGCTTCGGGCTTTTAATTTATGATACCACAGACTCGACCTATTAAAGTTATTCATAATTGGTCCCTAGTTTTCTTTAACATCACATTTGCATATATTTTATATACGTTTGTATACTATATACACAATATACAGATATACGTATTGCTTTGACCTCATCAATCATACACACGTGTTTGCTAATTTAACGTATTATACACTACTAAACCATACATCACTACTATTCGTATTACTCGAATAAAGTTGATCTATACTGTTTTCTTCTTTATGCACCATCACATATAAACTTTCTAAATTAGTGTGTTTTCAAAACCAGAAAAATTATAAGTAAATATTTTTAAGTTTTTCTCTACATCTTACGCATGTATTTTGGTTGTTGATATTTATTGACATTTGAAGTTTTTTTATTATCTTTAAATCCATGTTACGTTTGTATTTTAATATAATAGATAACTGGGATTAAAAGCATTATTTTGACTTCTTTCGCAGTTTTTTAAATTCACGATTTGACTAAACAGAGGTCCTATCTATAAGATGAATCCTAACATATGTGAACATCAAGGTGCATACAAAATTTAACTAGAATATTTTTGTATCTTAAACCTAAGAACCAGAACGATATTTATCTTATTCGGTATCCGATTTAGATGTTTTGAGTTTCTTCAAAGATGCTATATATTCAGATGTAGGTTTGGAAGCAAAGTGTAATGGATTAGGTTTATAAAACTGTGCAAATGGAATTACACGTGGTAATGAAATATTATTGAGGGTTGAAAGTTGTTCTGGAGTAAGTCTAATTTAGTTATTAATTAATTAGCGAAAAGGTATAATACAAATTATGAAATCAAATATAAAATCTATAATATTAAGCATACTTGAATTCTAAAGCACTTATGTTTTCCTCCAGAATTTCCAAGTTTCTTGCAGCTGCCACTACTGATGTGATTCCTGGCTGTTGTAGAGTCCAATTGATCGCAACCTATACAATTTGATAAAAAAAAAATGGATTAGCATAAATGACGAAAAAAAAATTTTTGATTCATAAATTCCATAAATGTAAATTACTTCAGAAGGTGTTCTTCCAGCCTCTTCAGCAACTCGAACAACTTCCTCAAGAATCTTCCAATTTTGCTCATTCTCTGCGTACTCAGAAACGACCTTTTTGGCAGGGAAATCACTATCAGAAGCAAGAGATTCTTTAGTGTATCGGTTAGATAAAAATCTATGTTTTAAAATGAATATGGGGATAAATGAGTTAATAGAAAAAAATACAAAGAAATTGCTCAAGAATAATATAAAAGAATAGATTATAACCCAGAAGCAATGGTATTATACGGGATAACGCCGATCTATTTTATAAATAAATAACGTTATTATGGTATTATCATATTATATTAATTGCCAACAAAGCTTAACTAACATTATGCTTCAAGCACATAGGCTGCAGATCGAACTCAAACGAACGATCGATCAAGTTATATTGTGATGACAATGCGATAAATTGACTATTTGGGTTGAAAAGCAAAAATAAGTAATTGATATATAAAATACAATGAGCACATTCTATTTACCTCCACCCACGAAGGTTTGATATTGCGTTTGCTTCGCTGGTAACCCATGCTGGTGTATCATTTATTGCAATGTATAGTGCCTTTTTTGTTATATATTATTTTATGTATATGTATATAATATAATGTTATAAACTGTGACTGAAAACAGATAAATATCAGATATGTTACATTCAAGCGTGCACGTACAAACGTACGTACGTACATACTTTGCCACTTCGAACCACATCATCTAATCCCCTTAATACGTTTTCGATTTTATCATCATAATCAATATGTGTATACAAAATG